CAATTGGTTAATTTAACAATCGTTGGATAAATTAATTAATTGGATTTGTTATTTATATTTTCGAATTAATTAATTGGATTAATTAATTCACGGACCGGGTTTAATTAATTGGATTAATTAATTATTGGACCGGACCGGGCCGAGCCTATTTGGGTTTATATAAATACATAACTAGGGTTTGAGGTCCATAAGGTTTTCATTATTCTTGCTGGCACAAGAGAAAAACCCTAGAGGCTGCAATCATATTCTCTGTGTGGATCACCATTGGAGGCTGGACAATTGGACAGCTGTGGTGGCGAATCAAGGTTGATGGAACGAAAAGAAAAGCAAAAAGATTGCAGATCTGAAAAGGTACAATCTTATCACAATTTCTATCTAAACACAAAGGCGATTCTTGGTGGGAATCGAAAATTATTTTAAATTCCGCTGTGCATGTATAAGTAGATTCCCAACAATTGATGCCTTAAGTCTAAAGGAATTGGATGTTAATATGATAACTATCCGAAGCATGAGGTGTCCAAGCACGATGTGTCTTCATTGCAGCCATACTTGACTTTCAACCATTATATTTGGATGCATTTGTGACTTTCAAGATTTATATCCATCCTATATTAAGTTCTTAGGGAGTAGACATGAGATTGATGCCTTAAGGTTGAAGGAATTGATTGTTAAAATGACAAACACCCCTTTCACGAAGTGTTCAAACATGAGGTGGTCTCTTGTAGTAAAAATATGATTTTATATTTATCTTTGTAGGTGAAAATCAAGTATCCTTGACTTATTTTAATGCACCAAATATTTCAATTACCTATCTAGGGTTTAAGGTAGCCTCGATCAATCGAATAGAAAGTTTGAACCTTTGTCAATACTGATTTCTAACCTTTTCGATATTCCATTTCTTATCATGCCAATCTCCAACATTTAGTTAACCTAATTTTCTATCATAGCTCAAAACAAAATTCAACACCTAGGTCGAGGCATCATTTTAAGAGAAAGCAATTAGGAAATCGATGCAAATGACAATGTAATTAGCATGAAAATGCATGAATCATATTGGCCATATGTATAACGTAAAGCTCGGGGTATTACATCCTCCCCTCCTTATAAAAATTTCATTCTCGAAATTTGCTTACCAAAAAGTTCAAGATATTTAACCCACATTTCATCTTCTCTTTCCCAAATAGCCTCTTCAGTTGGCTGATTTCGCCACAATACCTTAACCAATGGAATTTTCTTGCTTCTCAGTTGCTTTATCTCTTGTTGAAGGATCTCTAGCGGTTTTTCTTCATAAGTCAAATCTGGTTTTATCTCTACTGGTTCATTCCTCGGTACATGAGAAGGATTTCCAATGTACTTCCTTAGCATGGACATATGAAACACATTGTTCACTTGAGACATTGATGAAGGAAGATCAAGCTTGTAGGCAACATTTCCAATTCTCTCGATAATAGAAAATGGACCAATGTATCTTGGGCTCAATTTTCCTTTCTTTCCAAATTACATAACCCCTTTCATCGGCGCTACCTTCAAAAATACTTGGTCTCCGACTGTGAATTCTAGTATTCTTCTTCTTTGATTTGCATAGCTTTTCTGTCGGTCTTGAGCAGTTTGCATTCGCTAACGTATTTGTATCACAACTTCAGCCATTTCACTAACCATCTCTAGTCCTAGCAATTTTCTTTCTCCAACATCATCCCAATAAACTGGAGATCTACATTTTCTACCATACAATGTTTCATATAGAACCATTCTAATCGTAGCATGATAACTATTGTTGTATACGAATTCTACCAAAGGTAAAAATTTACTCCACTGGCCTTGGAAGTCTAATACACAAGCCCTCAACATATCTTCCAATATTTGTATTGTTCTTTCTAATTGTCCATCAGTCTGAGGATGATAAGCTGTGCTAAAAGATAACTGCGTTCCCAAAGCCTTATGTAACCTTCTCCAAAAGAGAGATAAAAACTTATAATGCCTATTTGAGACAATAGATAGTGGCACTCCATGAAGTCTGACTATTTCTTGTACATAAAGCTGAGCATATCGGTCCATGGAAGTGGAACAAACTGGAATGAAATGGGCTAATTTTTTTAACCTATCCACAATAACCGAAATACTATCGTATCCCTTAGTTGATTTTGGTAATTTCACCACAAAGTCCAATGTGATACTTTCCCATTTTCATTCTGGGATAGGTAATGGTTGTAAAGCTCCTACTTTTCTTTGATGTTCAGCTTTTATCTATTGATAGGTTGAACATTGTCCCACATATTCGGCTATCTCATCTTTCATGTTCAGCCACCAATATTGCAACTTCAAATCTCTATACATTTTAGTAGCTCCTGGATGAACAGAATATGGTGTCATATGAGCTTCAGATAAAATGCCCCTTCGGATATTTTCTACATCAGGTACGTATAATCGTGCTCTAAATCGCAAGATACCATATGCTAATATATGAAAATCTGAAGTCTTTCCATCTTGTATATCATTCTTTATCTTGGAACAATAATCATCTTCCCGTTACCCTTGCTGAATTCTATTTAATAAAGTTGGCTGAAATGTCAACCCTGTAAGTTTAGCCTCTACAAATCCTTGCGACACAACTTCAATACCCATTTTTTGTAAATCTATCAATTCTTTTTATTTTTCTTTTCAGTTACAATCATACTCACAACACTGGATGTTGACTTCCTACTCAATGTATCAGCTACAACATTAGCCTTATCGGGATGATAGCTTATAACACAATCATAATCTTTTACCAATTCTAGCCATCTTCTTGTCTCATGTTCAATTCCTTTTGTGTAAATAGATATTTCAAACTTTTGTGATCAGTGTAAATCTCACACTGCTCTCCATACAAATAACTCTATATCTTAATTGCAAGCACAACTGCGACGAGTTCCAAGTCATGTGTAGGATAATTCTTTTTGTATTCTTTAAGTTATCTAGAGTCATATGCAATGACTTTACCATTTTGCATCAATACACACCCCAAACAATTCTTTGAAGCATCACTATAAACCATAAAGTTTTCAGTATCAAATCCATAAAAGCTGCTGGAGCATTTGTTAACCCAAATGGCATCACAAAAACTCATAATGACCATATCTCGTACTAAATGTTGTCTTAGAAATGTCATCTTCCTTTATTTTAAGTTGATGGTATCCAGATCGCAAATCAATCTTAGAAAATACAGATGCACCCTGAAGTTGATCAAACAAATCATCAATCCTCGACAATGGGTATTTATTTTTAATTGTCACCTTATCTAACTCTCGATAACTAATGCACAATCTCATTGTACCATCTTTCTTACGAACAAATAATACTAGTGCACCCCATGGTGAAAAGCTAGGTCAAATAAAACCTTTATCTAACAACTCTTGTAATTGTAACTTTAACTCTTTCAATTCAGTTGGGAAGTTTCCCGTCCGACGATGGTGCTGCTTTGTTGAAACTCTGACTAGTGACCCCCTAGCAGCACCCGGACGGAAGGCAAGCATGGGCATGAAATCGCATTGCGTGTTGAAAGATGGCCCCGGATTAAGACAACACGCAATCAAATTTGCTCGTAATTATCTATTTTGGTCCAGAAACAAAGTAAAGACTCGACGAGAAGGGGAGGAACAATCCGAACGGAGGGCGGAGATGATGGGGTCGGTCCATGGATTTTCCTTCCTTTTCTTTTGCCGCATTTCGCTCAAAGGGTTGAAGGGAGATAATGCATCAAGCTATTCGCAAGGGCCAACTTGATCCTCTTCCCCAGGGATCTCAGATGAGGGACCCCTGGGACCAAAAACGAATGAAGCCGAAATTATCTTGAAATCAAAAACCACTCTTCACTGGCTCCATTCCAATCGAATAACACTAGCAATGCGCCAAAAATGAACAAACCCGACGTTATCGTGAAATCAAAAGCCATTTTCATTGGCTCGATTCCAACCGAACTAGACTAGCAATTCGCTAAAAACCAACAAACTCGAAATTATCATGAAATCGAAAATCACTTTTCATTGGCTCGATTCGAATCGAATTAGACTAGCAATTAGCCAAAAATGAACAAACCTGAGCTTATCAAGAAATCAAAAGCCACTTCTCATTGGCTCGATTCCAATCGAATTAGACAAGCAATTTGCCAAAAACGAACAAACATAAAGTTATCATGAAATCAAAAGCCACTTTTCATTGCCTTGATTCCAATCGAATTAGACTGGCAACTTGACAAAAACGAACAAACTCGAAGTTATCATGAAATCTAAAACCACTTTTCATTGTCTCAGTTCCAATCGAATTAGACTAGATATTTCGCCGAAAATGAAAAAATAAGAAGTCATCATGAAATCAAAAATCACTTTTCATTGGCTCGATTCCAATCGAATTAGACTAGTAATTTGCCTAAAACGAACAAACCCAAAGTTATCATGAAATCAAAAGCCACTTTTCATTGGCTTGATTCCAATCGAATTAGACTAGCAATTCGCCAAAACGAACAAACCCGAAGTTATCATGAAATCAAAACAACTTTTCATCAGCTCGATTCCAATTGAATTAGACTAGCTATTTGCCAAAAATGAACAAACCCAAAGTTATCATGAAATCAAGAACTGCATTTCATTTGCTCGATTCCAATCATGTTAGACTAGCAATTCGGCTAAAATGAACAAACTCGAAGCTATCAGGAAATCAAAAACCAGCTTTCATTGGCTCGATTCCAATCGAATTAGACCAGCAATTCGTCAAAAACGAAAAAACAAGAAGTTATCATGAAATCAAAAACTACTTCTCATTGGCTCATCTCAAATCGAATTAGACAAGCAATTGGTAAAAAACAAAAAAAACACAAAGTCACCATGAAATCAAAACCACTATTTCTTGGCTCGATTCCAATCAAATTAGAATAGCGATTCGCCAAAAATGAACAAGCTCGAAGTCATCTAGAAATCAAAAGCCACTCTTCATTGGCACGATTCCAATTGAATTAGACTAGCAATTCGCCAAAAACGAACAAAGCCGAAGTTCCCATGAAATCTAAAACCACTTTTCATTGGCTCAATTCCAATCGAATTAGACTAGATATTTCGCCAAAAATGAAAAAACAAGAAGTCATCATGAAATCAAAAACCACTTTTCATTGGCTCGATTCCAATCGAATTAGACTAACAACTTGCCAAAAAGGAATAAACCCAAAGTTATCATGAAATCCAAAACAACTTTTCATTGGCTCGATTCCAATCAAATTATACTAGCAATTTGCTAAAAACGAACAAACCCAAAGTTATCATGAAATCAAAAGCCACTTTTCAATGGCTCGATTCCAATCGAATTAGACTAGCAATTCGCCAAAACGAACAAACCCGAAGTTATCATGAAATCAAAACCACTTTTCATTGGCTCGATTCCAATTGAATTAGTCTAGCTATTCGCCAAAAACGAACAAACCCAAAGTTATAATGAAATCAATATCCTCATTTCATTGGCTCGATTCCAATCGAATTAGACTAGCAATTCGCCTCAAATGAACAAACTCGAAGTTATCAAGAAATCAAAAACCACTTTCCATTGGCTCGATTCCAATCGAACTAGACTAGCAATTCACCAAAAACGAATGAACCCGAAATTATCTTGAAATCAAAAACCACTCTTCACTGGCTCCATTCCAATCGAATAACACTAGCAATGCGCCAAAAATGAACAAGCCCGAAGTTATCGTGAAATCAAAAGCCATTTTTCATTGGCTCGACTCCAACCAAACTAGACTAGCAATTCGCCAAAAACCAACAAACTCGAAATAATCGTAAAATTGAAAATCACTTTTCATTGGCTCGATTACAATCGAATTAGACTAGCAATTAGCCAAAAATGAACAAACCCGAGCTTATCAAGAAATCAAAAGCCACTTATCACTGGCTCGATTCCAATCGAATTAGACAAGCAATTTGCCAAAAACGGACAAACATAAAGTTATCATGAAATCAAAAGCCGCTTTTCATTGCCTCGATTCCAATCAAATTAGAATAGCAATTCGTCGAAAACGAACAACCTCGAAGTTATCATGAAATCTAAAACCACTTTTCATTGGCTCAGTTCCAATCGAATTAGACTAGATATTTCGCCGAAAATGAAAAAACAAGAAGTCATCAAGAAATCAAAAACCACTTTTCATTGGCTCGATTCCAATCAAATTAAACTAACAATTTGCCAAAAACAAATAAACCCAAAGTTATCATGAAATCAAAAGCCACTTTTCATTGGCTCGATTCCAATCGAATTAGACTAGCAATTTGCCTAAAACGAACAAACCCAAAGTTATCATGAAATCAAAAGCTACTTTTCATTGGCTCGATTCCAATCGAATTAGACTAGCAATTCGCCAAAACGAAGAAACGCAAAGTTATCATGAAATCAAGAACCGCATTTCATTGGCTCGATTCCAATCGAATTAGACTAGCTATTCGCCAAAAACGAACAAACTGGAAGTTATCATGAAATCAAGAACCGCATTTCATTGGCTCTATTCCAATCGAATTAGAATAGCAATTCGCCTAAAACGAACAAACTCGAAGTAATCAAGGAATCAAAAACCACTTTTCATTAGCTCGATTCCAATCGAATTAGACTAGCAATTCGTCAAAAATGAAAAAACAAGAAGTTATCATGAAATCAAAAACCACTTTTCATTGGCTCATGTCAAATCGAATTAGACAAGCAATTGGTAAAAAACGAACAAAACACAAAGTCACCATGAAATCAAAAAGTACTATTTCTCTGCTCGATTCCAATCGATTTAGAATAGCAATTCGCCAAAAATGAACAAGCTCAAAGTCATCTTGAAATAAAAAGCAACTCTTCATTGGCACGATTCCAATTGAATTAGACTAGCAATTCGCAAAAAACGAACAAACCCGAAGTTCCCATGAAATCTAAAACCACTTTTCATTGGCCCAATTCCAATCGAATTAGACTAGATATTTCACCAAAAAATGAAAAAACAATAAGTCATCATGAAATAAAAAGCCTCTTTTCAATGGCTCGATTCCAATCGAATTAGACTAACAATTTGCCAAAAATGAATAAACCCAAAGTTATCATGAAATCAAAAGTCACTCTTCATTGGCTCGATTCCAATCGAATTAGACTAGCAATTTGCCAAAAACGAACATGCCCAAAGTTATCATGAAATCAAAAGCCACTTTTCATTGGCTCGATTCCAATCAAATAAGACTAGCAATTCGCCAAAACGAACAAACCCGAAGTTATCATGAAATCAAAAAAACTTTTCATTGGCTCGATTCCAATTGAATTAGTCTAGCTATTCGCCAAAAACGAACAAACCCGAATTTATAATGAAATTAATAACCTCATTTCATTGTCTCGATTCCAATCGAATTAGACTAGCAATTCGCCTCAAATGAACAAACTCGAAGTTATCAAGAAATCAAAAACCACTTTCCATTGGCTCGATTCCAATCGAACTAGACTAGCAATTCACCAAAAATGAACAAACCCGAAGTTATCTTGAAATCAAAAACCACTCTTCACTGGCTCCATTCCAATTGAATTACACTAGCAATGCACCAAAAATGAACAAACCCGAAGTTATCATGAAATCAAAAGTCATTTTTCATTGGGTCGATTCCAACCGAACTAGACTAGCAATTCGCCAAAAATGAACTAACTCGAAATTATCATTAAATCGAAAATCACTTTTCATCGGCTCGATTCCAATCGAATTAAACTAGATATTTCGCTAAAACCGAAAAAACAAGAAGTCATCATGAAATCAAAAACCACTTTTCATTGGCTTGATTCCAATCGAATTAGACTAGCAATTCATCAAAAACGAACACACTCGAAGTTATCATGTAATCAAAAACCACTTTTCATTGGCTCGATTCCAATCGAATTAGAATAGCAATTCGTCAAAAATGAACAAGCCCGAAGTCATCATGAAATCAAAAGCAACTTTTCATTAG